CAGCAGCAGCAGGCAGCAGCAGCAGGTGATGGTAGGTAGTAGATAGAAGGAGGTAGTCGGTAGCAGGTAGCGGATAGCAGCTGGTAGGTAGCAGGTTCTAGGTAATAGTTTCAGGTAGTGGGTGGTGTAGTAGTAGCTTAGCAGTAGCCTCCCTTCGATGGCTCGAAGGCCAGTGACCACGCCAGACGGACAGCAGTTGAATGTGCCATGAGCTCGGAGGGGTTAGGGCCGGGAGGGACCTTGCGTCGTGATTATCCGAGACAGCTGACCCCTGGATGCAACAACGTCGCAAGAAGCCATAGCCACGCAAATGAACAGCATCTTTATACTACAATGAGAATATATGAACAGTCGCAGTGACCGTAACAACAGAAGTCCCTTGACCAGATCCGTGCGCTTGCTCATCAAGACTCAGACGCTTAGCTGGTCGACTGATCCGGCGCAGGACTTTCTGCTAGGGTTAGGGTCAAAGGTTTGTGTTGAAGTGTTGCCACAAGATGCAGCAGTACCGTTGGAGAGTGCTGCTTCGCGATTTTGAATTTGAGACCCTAGGAACTAACACATGTTCCCCGAAGTCCAAAGCTCTCAACTCCGAACTCCTCCTTTCGACATAGGGCCGGCCCGGGTCTAGCGTGGAGGGTTTCGCGGGCGAGCTGCCGCTGCCAGCCTCTTCCCGGATCCCAAACACGTGAATCCAGGACGTTCCCTACTTCCTGAAGTCGCTTGGGATAGAGGACCCGATCATGGAGGTGCGTGCTCAATGGAAATGGCCTCACATGCATGCGCGTCAGCGAGGGCCATGAAGTCTGAATAAAGGGACGAGGATGATGAAGACAGGCGAGACGGGGTAGGCCCTCGGGCTCCGCAAAGGCTCCACGCCCCGTGCAAGCAAGACAGAGACAGAGAGAGAGAGAGAGAGAGGGAGTGCGAAGAGTGAGAGTGAGAGTGAGACGGAGAGCAAGGGCAACTGGAGGGGAAATGAAGCAACCATTCGTCCTGAGGGCCGGCTCCTCGTCACAGACATCATGTTGAAGACCAGCCGCTGCCTTTCATCAAGATCTTCGATGGAGAGCGTTGGGGGGTTGCTGAAGAAGGGATCTGCACTTCAGCCGAGGGAAGTTGTGATGGGTGAGGACCCGAGTCCGTTTCCTCTGCTTCTGAAAAGCATTGAGGGTTTAGGGTATAGGGTTTAGGGATTAGGGTTTAAGCTTTAAGGTTTAGGGTTCAGGGTTTTTTTTAAGAATCCGTCTGCATTCTCTGGGCGGCAACTTATTTTGGTTGTTGGGGTATCTGCGTTGGTGTCTCTTCGCTCAGGTGATCTGCCTTTGCTGCCTGGACCTCAAGACTTACAGGAGAATAAGCTTGTATTGGCTACGAAGACTGATGAGAATATGACTAGGAATCACTTGCTGCTCTTCTTATCACTCTTCTTATGTACCGTTGCTGCGCATAGAGTGGCTTTCTGCAAGCTGCGTGGGTGACAGGCCACAGAAAGCCGTAGTAATGTAGTATTCGTGTTGTGGCTGTCATCACTATGGTCTGTTGCTTGTGAACTGTATCTGACCAGTTTTGTGCTTACCATTGTCTATACCCTCCCGGCTGGGTTGACCCCATGGTCCCGCAGCGCATTCCCATGCCGCAGGCAAGGCCGCATCGGAATGTTCATGATTTGCAAGGAGGGGTCTAAAAGTCTACATGAATCAATCGGAAACATGAGTTCCTCAGTTCAGAGACGAATTCTTGCAAGTCACATATGGCAACTTTCAGCAGAGAGCTCACGAAGGCACTGGGTGTATCTGTAGCATGCCTGGCTCCACTTGGGTGGGTATGTCGCCTCTTGCGCCGCCTACTAGGATCGTTCATTTGTACTTATCCTTTTATAGCTTTGTCACTGTTATCGTGTTGGCGCACCAAACCCTGAACACTGGCCCCATGTTCGCAATTTCAGGGGAATTGCGGGGTGTTCCCAAGTAGGCCTCAGAACTCCCAGGTACAAAGCAGCAGATGGGTTCGTCCTGCTGGAACCTCAGCGTCGAGATTTCGGGGAGTCTTTCAAGTCTCTGCAGGGTCTAGATTCCATGCTAGGGTTTGCAAGTCCAGATTCGGGATGCTTGCAAGCCTTTAGCGTCTCTTAGGGTTTCCCTACGGCAGAGGAGGCAATGCTGGCAGTCATCAAATCCGGTTTCAAAAAGAGGACATTGAGGGGTTTCCCTACGGCACCTTCAAGTTCCAGTCAGTTACTTTGTCAGGAGCGTGAGGGGGAAAAATCTCAAACCCCAGCACCCCAGCTCTCCCGGAGAAAGTGATCGCTTGCCAAAACCCAGATTCGAGACCTCCGCGCACAGCCACATGTAGCAAGACTGCGACGGGGCAGGAGAGGGTGGTAGCAGAGTTTACCTGCGGAGCTGGGGGAAGGCCCTGCAAACGATGCCGATTCTGACAGGTGTCCCCCCCCCCCCCCCCCCAACCCTCAAACCTAGACTTAGACCCTAA